GGGGGGGGGGGAAGGTGTGAGTGTGGATGGGGTGGAGAAGAAGATCATGAGAGGTATTGCAGTTCAATCTGTGCTGTCATGGGCGAGTACTTGCCAATGGAAAAAAACACCAAGTTGTCAGGATTGTAATCCCTACCCATAACACAGAGCAAAACCAGATAAGGTGCTAGATCAACCATTGCTTCTTCAATGATTGTTCCTCTCAGATGAAATACAGCCATTGCCAAGTCTCTCTGCTCCTGGCTTTGGCTTCTTGCAGCCTTCATCTTGCACTCAACCTGGGTCCAGGCATCCAATCTCCCCCTTGAATCCACTTCATTAACATTGGCACTTCTCTTGCGTGCTCCGTGCCCCTATACAGAAGAAAACTTCTGAAGCAGAACATGCTCCTTTGCACTTAAACCAAGACCATCACAGAGACCAAGGAAGAAGAGAGTCCACGCAGTCAGCTTTTCAGAAAGCGGAAACTTAGCATTGCAGTCAGCAATGATACCTTGTTCCATTTCACTCCTAAAAAGATAATTCACCAGTCATTGCCTTCTCTAACTTTCCATCAATTTCAGTGACAGCTAGCACCAGCCTTTAAAACCAGATATCTACCCAAGTGAGGCAAGGACTTACCCAGAACACAGAGGAGCTTTTATAAGTATCTAGACCTCAGATGTTTGGGTGCTTGTTAGTGACAAAGTACATCGGTGTCATCAGATCGACTCTGAGTTTTCTGCATGTGGAAGCTAAAGAAAAGACAAGTTGTTCCTCGAAGCAACAGCAAAAGGTACAAGTATTAGGGGTGAGCAATACGTCAGTCCCAATCTCTAAACTTGGTATCAACCTGTTGTTTATTTTCATGGAGAAAGTATGTGACAACACCCACAGCATTAGGTGGCTCAGACCTAATGCTGACATTAGCCCAGACATTAGGACACTCAGTTGTTGCCTAAATCCAGGCTCAGATGCTGTCACAGCCTGATTCAGGTGCAAGACCCCCACATCTCTGAGAGGGATCCAGACCCTTCTGAATGGTGGAACACTTTAGTCACAGGAACCTCTCTTCCTTCTCCCTTTGCTGGCTGAGAGCTTCCTCACTGCGTTAAAGACTTGTACCTACTGTCACTGGAAGGTCATTCTGTCTCTTCTACTGAAGCTAATTATTTACATGAATAAATAAATATCACTTAGGGCAGCACTTTGAGCCTTAGTTTTCTACATTTGACCACATCCTTAAGGGCTTTCTCACATATAGCACTCATAACAGCCTGGCCTCGGGAAACTTTTCCTGATATTTTTCCTGAAGTAAAAAACCCTTCAAACTGGATTTTCTCTATGAAAAGCTGGAGTTTCAACCAATTGACATGCCTAGGTGCCAGTCAGAAGACTCCTGACTAGCTTTAAGCTTTATCATCCACAGACTCCTTAGCTTGGCACTTGTCATCTGGAAATCCTCCATAACTCTTTCCTCCTGAGGACAGTTTACTTTTCAGATAACCTAGACAAAGACATGTTTCTACGATACCCCTATAGCATACAGCCACACCAATACCCACACATAGACTTAAGCCCAGTATTGAGATCACCTGCTACCAGGTACGTTATCTTCTTAGTCCTCAAACTCAAAACACATTTGAATACTGAGGAAGTGCAAAGTCATGCATGGCTAGTGTGGCCGGGAGCTCCAGGACAGAAGGAGCTAGGTAGACCTTTCTGCGGTATCACTTCATGTCCTGACTAGATGGAGGGTAGAACAAGTAGCTTTCGATGCTAAACCAGAGCTCAGAAGACTCAAAAAAATCCTGGAAAACCCCAAATCCAAGGTGAAACAGTTTTAATATACAAACCATCCAGAGCACGTGATAGTGTTTATGCTGACCTCATGCCAGCTTTATCCTGATTGAAAGAGAACAGAAAATACCCACCTAAGTATAGTGGCAAAACAGCAGACATTGCCTGCTTTAGCAGAAGGGTGCCAGTACAGGGATAACGCTCCAAACATTGTGAACATTGTGCAGAACCAGCTTAAGCTAGATTGGTGCCCCACATCACACGGTCACAGCTTTCTTTGGTCTGATACAGGAGAGCTCTCAAAACCCAATTTAATAACACCATTGGTCTATGGCCTTATTTGCTAAAGAAGAGTTTCCTACCAGCTAATGAAGGCATCACCATTCCAGTCCAAGAAGGCTCATGATCCTGAAGAAAATCCACAGCTAAGCTGGGGGACGTTTTCCTTTTGCCCTACATTCCCTTGAGACTGCAGCTTGCCATTAAAGGCTACCAAAGCCTTTGGTGTAAGAAGAGATGCAGAGACACCCTGTGGTGGCAAAAAAATATGATCAGGATTAGTTCAAACAGCTTAAATTTTATTTAATTAAGACACAGAAGTGGATCAGAAAAGCTGTATCCTGGGGACACAGGGAAATCTTTCTGAAGTTGCTAGTCATGTAATTTCCCCTCGCCAGGCCTCCTTTCCTGTCTGGCATCTTTTGCCCTCTGTGTTTGCACGACAGTCCCTGCCACAAAGGTTTTACCCCTAGTTCTGTTTGGTTCTTTTACCCCAGGGACTATCAGCTGGGTCAGGGCAGCCGTGTCCTGCTACAATTGGAGGGATGGCTGGGGAAAGGCTCCATTTCTGGAAAACACAGTTTCTTGCATCTTTAGCCCTATCAGATCTGGTAGGGAAAACTATCGGTCTTGTTTGTAAATTTTTGGGTTGTTGGTTTTTTTACCCCATCTGTAATTCACACTTTGTCCTGAAATCATGTTTATAAATATGAAAGCAGTTACAGAGACACCAATACACTGCTCAGGTAGTCCAGCAGTGAAAGCAGTCAACAGCAGGCATTGGTGCAAATCAGTTTTGACATCTGAAGTCTTAAAGGTACTAGACCTTGCTTATAATTAACTAGAGACAACCTACTGATACAACACTGAGGTTCCTGAAAATGCTGTCCAGTGCTGTTACGTGATCTTCATCTGAAGGAAGCATAGATCCTAGATCCACAGTAGGATTCCCATTTTAAGGAGTCATTATGTAATCTATAGGTTTACGAACTGACCACATAATAAAGCAAACCTCAGGGCTAGCCCTGGTAACACTGTTATTGGTTACTTTGGCTCACAAAACAAAAAATTGAGTATTGCTAAGTAAGAAATGTAAGGGCAATTAATCGGTATATTCAGAGCAATGGTGGTCAAGTGTCACAAGATTTAAGCAGAGAACAAAAGCAAGGCAAAGAAATCAATTATTCATGTACTGGGTATTTAAATCTTCTGATCTGGCAACGCATTTAAGCATATATTTAAAGTACAGGAGGAACTCCCCCTACATCATTAGAATTAATTGCACTGGAAACTCAACATAGCCAGACAACTTCATCTTTAAAAGAAGAGAGATTAAATACTATAAAATATATGTTCCAAAGTACAATTTTTAAAAATTGTTTACTAAAAGGCCTTAGAAAAGACCCCTTCTGTGTATCTTCGATTCTTTGCCACCAATTTGCACATACTTACATCTGTACTTTAATGTTACATTTTCCCCTCTTGATCTTCTAGACAAGTGGAATTAGCACTGAAAGATCCTGCAGTGAGAAGCCTTTGAAGCCCCCTTCTCACAGAGAAGGTTCCTGCCTCCCTGGTTTCTGATTTTATTAGCCACAGATTGGTCTGTTCTGCAAAGCTTCACCTCAGCACCACTGTATGCCTAAAACGGGTCTTGAAAGTGCAGGTTGTCACAAATTAAAAACTGAAGGGAAGTCTATAATTGTGAGATGTGTAATTTTCTTTCATTCACTAATCTTATTCATTTTTTAATAGCACGGTAATTCTTTAGTGGCAGTTTCCTCTCACAGGTCAATGAACTGTTTGTAATTTCTTACATAAATAGTCTTTTCTGCCATTTCTGTGGGAGAAACAGGCCTAACTTACCTAGGTTCCATTAAAAAGCTGGGTGTTTTATCACGAAGCACGAGTGGCAAGGTGTGTCGCTCTCTGTTCCTTGAAGGTATTTATAGTTTCTTGTTAATGTGTGTCAATATATAATTTTGGTAAATAACTATAACACAATGAAAAAACATTTCAGGGTGTGATTCTGTAAAGCATTTGCACAGTGAGTCCCTACTGCCTGTGTACATCCTACTGTAC